GTTCAAGGCACCATGAGGGTAGACTATCTGTTTAGAATTTTCAAACGAGAAAGACTGAGAACCTCTGGCAGGTGGTGGGGGAGATAAAGCATTTCCAAATATCATTCTTTCAACTCAGGCATTACACGGGAAGAACAGAGACACGTACATGCTCAGACGTGAAGGCAATGAGCCTGGGGACGGCGGCCATTCCTTTCTCCTTGACTTCTGGGAACATCTTAAAGCGCGCAATCAGCATGGCATACATGTTGGATATGGCGCCACCTAGAGTGCACAGCAACACACAGTTACCTTTTCCAGCCATTACCAACATTATTACATATGCAAGCCGCATTCCTATTGCCACTGGTCTAGAGTCCTCCTTGGACACAGGAGAAGACGTTCTTATTGCCTATCCTTTGAACTTGATCCTAAGGCACTAGCTGAGATGGTCCAGAAAAAGAAACACTGGGCAGAACCATAGGATGGATGCTCCCCCTCCACACTCATCTCTGTTACCAACGAGAGATGCAATAGATTCTGATTTTGCTGGGAGCTCTTTAAAGAGCCTTTTAAAAACTGAGAAATTGTTGTCTTCCTTCCCAGCTTGTAAATGTGGTCTTTCCTACTGATGTCCTGATGGAGAAGTCTTATTTATTTTCATTTCAGTTCATGCAATGCCTTGTACTTAAACTGAGACAAATCAGTTGCCATTAATGATGTGAACTATAAATCAACAATTCTTACAGAATGAGGATAAACATTCAATCCCATCTCATCATACTCATCTCTTAATTTGCCTGAAATGATTCTTCCCTCTCAATGACATTATCGAAATATAATTGTAATGGTTAATAAAATTTTATTTTGCAATTACAGAAAAAACACACAACTAAAGGAATTTTAAGTCCATATTGAATTTCTTTTTCCTGAGTCATCCTAAGATTGTCAAGGATTTCATACCATAAGATTTATGCCTTATAACTAGAGTCTCATTTGACAAGCAATGAAGAGTGAGTTTTTCCCCAGGATTGTTGGAAAGGTTAGAATTTTTGCTATCCAGGAAAAAGACAGATTGTTGTGCATGCAAATGATATACTGGCATGGAAGCTGTGAGATCTTGGGGCAGAGTGAAGGGACTGTCTCCCCTCCCATGCAAAGAAGAACACGCCATCACATGAGTGCTGAGTTCCCTTTCCTTCTGGTAGCTGAGGAGCAAAAGGGTTCTTATGCCTAGTTGAATGGCCCACCCGAGGCCATAACCCTTGCCTCATGGGTCCTGGGCTCTGACGCAAGCAGGCAGCCTGACACAGAGCATTCGTCACCCAGATCCTGGCTCTGTCATCAGGCAGAAGAAGGACGATTCCTACCTCTTCTGGACTCCAGAGACTTGGGATAAGCAGAATCCAGGTCAGACCTGCTTTGAGCAGAAACTGTGTCTAAAAGTCTGACTGTATACTAGACTAATTGGGGGGATTGCTTCATAATTTATATCAGTGTCTAAGCACTATGCTGTACACCTGGAACTAATATAAAATAATACTGAATGTCAACTGTAATTGAAAAATAAAACTAACTAAATAAATAAACAATAAAAGTCTAACTGTCTAAAAGCTTATACTTTTCAATCTTGCCACTTAATGATATTTTGGGCTGGATAATTCCTTGTGAAGGGCTGTCCTGTGCATCGTGGAGTGTTTAGCAGCATCTCTGGCCTCTACCCACCAGATGCCAATAACACTATGCTCTCCCAGTGTGACAACCAAAAATGCCTCCAGACATTGCCAAATGTTCCCTGGGGCGGGGGAGGGGGGGCAAGATCGAGGGCAAAATTCTCCTGACGAGAACCACTGCCTTCACTGTCCTTCTCAGAAAGGCCAGGGAGAAAGGAGGACAGGAGAAAAAGGGGAAGATGTACACAAAGAAAGTGCGTTTCACAGGACACTTATCGAAGAAGCTTCTGCCTTCCCGCTCTTCATTTTGCACTTCAGCCATTTT